AGAAAGATTGAGAAGGAATTAGAAGCATCTCTAGGATAATGAAGACCAGAAGAGGTGGCCAGAGAGAAATAGTCGGCGAAATTCATCGCAGTAGACATCGCAATTGTGCAGAAGATTTGCGAGAGAAAAGTAAGAAAAATTAGGTAAGACCTGTTTGGCAGCCAAGAAAATTGCAGAAAATCGGAAGCGAATGATCGATTCGTCATGAGACTATGGCGGTGATACCATGTAGAATTCTAACATGTTGCAGAAATCAAGAAATAGAGAGAGAGAGAGAGAGAGAGAGAGAGAGAGAGAGAGTTTGTAGAGAGAGAATAGATATGTGAAGAATGAATTCTCATTAGCTTCCACAGTACACTTTACAAAGAGATATAGACTTATAAATAATTGTCTATTATTGCTAGTCACCACTCTTACATAACAACCCTATCTACTAATTACTTAATCACTAAGGTAGATTACTTAACCACTAAGGTAAGTATCTATCTGGTACCTTGAGTGCACTGTGATATGGTGATCATTTATTATCCTTAACAATCACCTCCACAAAATTCTGCAGAGCTGTTCCTCTCTTCTGTGAAACTTCTTCCAAAGATGGTGGTTGTTCTTTGCTTCTCTTAGTCTCTTGAGTACTGTTGCTCTCTTGTGTGCTTTTCCTCTCAGACTCAAAGCCTTGTTTTTCTTTAGAAGCTTGTTGCTGCTGCTTTTGTTGGCCTTGCAGCTTGTTGTCTTCCCCCCTAAGAGTCATTTTCTCCACACCCTCATGTATTTGTGTGCGTCTACATTCATTATTAATCTCACTACTTTCTCGGCCTTCATTGATCCGAACCTGCTTCTCTTGCTCACCACTACTCACTTCAAACTTCCTGACCGACTGAAGACCTCAACCTTGTCCTTGTCCTCCTTGAAGCTCTTCGGCCCTTGCAAAATAGCGGCCTTGGGCTTCACCTTGACACTGATCTGCAGTCATCCCTACTGACTGACGAGCTCCACCTTGACGTTTACCTTCATGGTGCTGTTTAAATGAATGAGCTCCGCCTTGAACCCTACCATGACTTTTAGTTTCATGGCGTTGTTCAAATGTATGACCACCAGCTTGACCTTGACCTTCACCTTGGCGGTGTTCAATTTCCCAAGAGATTGGCCTTGAGTTCCACCTTGTCCTTGACCACCTCCACCTTGGCTCTTCTTTTTAGACTCAGCTTCTTTATCCTCCACCTTGTCAGCTTGCAATTCTCTCTGTCCGTCATCCCTTGTCGACGCCTGAGTATCCCTAAGCGACTCGAGCTTATGAGACCTGATCTCATAAGTCTCTCTTGCTTTCCCCATCCCCACATCTCCCACCGTATTCCCACTCCTCATCGAGGCTAATTTATCGTCATGCTGCGATGACTGCTTGCTGCTGCTGTCGAGAGAAGTGTCTTTCCTTCCAGCTCTCGTATCAGCAGCATGCACCGTCAGAGCCTCAAAGTGCGTCGTCATCTTGGGCACCTTGTCTTTCTCTATGTACACCTCCGTCTCCGGTGTTGTGTTTTCCCTTCTTTGCTGCTGCTCAGAAGCCATTTCCTTATATATTCCATCCTTTTTTTCTTGATACAAACCAGAGCGCTAGCTGTTTGATTAGGTAATATTCAATACAAAGGTTTTTTTATTTTTCTTTCGCTATAATTTGATTAGGGTTTCAGAAGTGGGAGAGTGGTGGTTGGAGGATAGGGATTAAAAACAGGAAGCCACGTGTAGGTTGGTAAGGACGTAGTATATGAGAAATTTTTTATTGTGACGAGAACACGGGTGGTACATTACACGTTTTTATGTAAGTAGTGAAATTTTTTTTTTTAAGTTATTAACTTTTTAACATACATATCCCATTATTTATATAGTGATATGTGGTGCACCACTACGTATGCCGGTCACATTAAAAATCTCTCGTAGTATATGCATAAAGGGCGACATCTGTTGGGTGAGAAAGTGCCACGTGGTGGCTTATTGACACATTTGGTCTTGAGAGTCAGATGCCATGCTACCCAACAACTCATACGTCGAACTGTTTCAGACTGGCATTACTCTTAACATAATCCAACATTTTAGAATGAGGATCCTCTTCGGATCATTTTGTGAAGATCCTGAAGATCTTTAAATAATATTCGTTTATCATGTATCGTATGATTAGAAATTATTTTAAATATTTTTATTTAAAATTAAATATAAATAGTATCTGATGAAAATAGATCGCATGATATACGATAAACGGTCACAATTTGAGGATCACATGAATCCTCACAAAGAGAATCCGAAGAGGATCCTCCTGGAACATTTTAACGTCTGCTGACACGTGGGAGAGCCTCCAGCTGCCACGGAGGTCAAATTCCTCAGTTTGAAAAACACTTGAATTCGGATCGCGCGATTCATTACATCCTACGTCCTTAACTACTTATCAGTTCATTTAGCTATCTATGTACCAAATGCATGCAGTTAGAGATGATACTTCAAGTGAATTCATGCATTTAGATATGATACTTCAAGTGAATGCTTGCTTCTTACTCTATGGAGGAATAGATCGGATATGTAAGTTAGAATTTTTATATTCTTCGTCTTAAGAAATTTGTCTTCATATAGTAATAATTGTCAATAAAACTTCTGTCACCCTTTTATGTACTAGGTATTTGAGACAAAATGCTTTTTCATTAAATATAACTAAAGTAAAAAAAAAAAAATACCCGTAATTACACCTCTATTTCATAAAGAAGTTTTTTTTTTCTGTATACTTGTCCGAGTTTGGCCAAATATTTTGAAATTTGGTATGGAGAAGTTTGATTCGGTGAGAATTGAAATGACCACGTCCAGTATGAACTATGAATAACTCAGATTTTGGTTGACAACACTTATCACCAAACTATAACAGTTGATGTTTAGGGGTTTTAACTATTAACTTCTCAAAGCATCTTTGAAATTTCATCTCAAGGAAAATGGATTCTATTTATGTTATCATTCCTCCCCTCTTGGTATATATGCATAAGAAATGCTAGCAACTTTTACATTTTGAACCTAATTCTCATTTTAATGGATAACATGTGTCATCATTCTCGTTTAACCTAAAAGTATTTAGATTCCGATAAATATTGAAGAATCACTAAACCGATATCATGAAACTCGTTGAACACTATAAAAGAATATGAAACCCATGAAGGATTTTTTTTTATAATTATTTTAGCTGTTGGATTAAATTTGAACCATTAATTTTTTTTTACCCATTGGATTTGATCATTTTATATATTAACAGTTGATTCAATGAATTTATAAATATAAACCAAGGGGGACTTTTGGCTTAAATTTGCCCCAAAATGAGTTTTGGGTTAAAAATCATATTTGGCCCAAGGGTTGGAGTAAGTTGTGGTAGTTTTTTTTCTTTTGGAACAAACGATATTATCTACACTAAGAGGGTGAGGAAATATATTAAGCTTCACAATGGGCTAGCAATAATGTGATTTAAATTCACATTTGGCGAGAGTCGAACCTAAGACCTCTCACTTACCAATGAAGAAGAATACCACTAGATCGTAGTACTAAGTGGCTTAATCCATATCAATTCCAAAACAAAAATGTAGTCCCCAAATGGAAGGTTTTAGAATCTAAAATTTGAGTTTACTCCAAGTGTTGAAATAGGTCTTAGTGAACAAATGGAAGTGGCCCTTTACCATAGTTTGCATGACGGCGTGGGTTGAAACCCTGTTGGTGGCTAATCTAATAAAATTTGTCGTTTGACAAAAAAATAAAATAAAATAAAGGGTCTTAGTTAAGGATGGGCAAAATACCCATGGGTTTTGGTAACCGCGGTTACCCGTCCATTTAAAGTTCACTGTTACGGTTATGGGTAACTGTTTAGACGAACAAATGGTTATGGGTATAACCGTTTATCCGTAAAATTTAAATGGATGATTATGGGTATTACCCGCGGTTATAATGGGTATCCATCGGTTATGGGTATTACCTGCTGTTATAATGGATATCCATTTACCCATTTAATTTAATATATGTAAAATAAAATTTATTAAAAACCCTAAATTTTCAATCTCTCCTCCAGACTCAGAGTCTCAGACACCCGGACCCCCACTCATCTCTCCCTCCTCGTTGCACTCTCTCCCATCTCCGTCGCAAAGCACAAAAATAATAGGGAAATGCTTATAGAAAGATCAAATGGTTGGATAATGTGTCCAATGTGCTTGACATGCCCATCAGTTTGAATCGAAAATCGGAAAGATTATGCAGAGAGTAATATATGTAACTTTGTGTTCCAACTGCTGTGTATGCCCATCAGACGGTACTGCTTTGCACGGTTGCAAACTATTATTTTTGTAAGATTGTTTTTGCGCTTGGGTGTAGCAGAAAAATATTGTTCGTAAACTATATTTCAATTATTGGAATTGTATGAGAACTTAAATGATTAAAATAGGGAAATGCATGCTAAAATGTACGTAAAATGGTGTTTAATTGTTAGAAAATGAAAATTATAACAAATTTTTCTTTTGTAATTTTCAAGTTGTTAAAAAAAAAACATGTAGACGGGTGAAAAAGGGGTAAATGGGTAAAAAAAGGATAAACGGGTTCAAAAACGGGTAAATGGTTATGGTTAAATGGATAAACGGTTATGGTTAAATGGGTACATGGTTATGGGTATGATTAACCGTTTATAAACGGTTATGGGTATTTGTACAACCGTTTATGCAATTACCCAACGGGTAAACGGTTATGCGGGTATAAATATAAACGGTTATGGGTAAATAACCGTGGTTACCCACCCTCCATAATCATTGCCCATCCCTAGTCCTAGTGAACAAATGACTAATTCATAATTACAATTTTGATTCTTACCAAAAAGAAGCACAAACGGGTATTGGCCCAGTTTATCTTACCTGTAGAGTTCTAATCCAAATAAACCATATAGCTCACAAGCGAGAAGCAATTTGGTTCAGAAAGTACGTAACAGATGCTGCAAGCTCAGCTCAATCACCAATTTGTTTTTCTAATTTGAGGGAAGTTTCTACGATTCAAGAGATCAATTAAACTGTATTCATATACAATTGAATCACGACCGAAGAACACTCTTATTGCTCAAATGCATGCGCAAGTAAAATGCAAAAACAAAACAAGGAAAAGAAAAACCCTACCTTTTCCTGAAACAATGAGAGTTTCTTTCAAGAATGAATGACTAATTAAATACAACAATGTTCCTAATGGTTGTTAATATTTTCAAGCAAATAGAGCAGCATAGAGGAGCTGGTTCCAAGTATCCGGCAGGCCGGGAAGGCACCAGTGGCTGCAGTCCGTGCCGTGCTCGCTGCTGTACTTGGATGGGTGTGCATCTTTGCGGATTTGGGAGAGAAATGTGATGTCGAGAAGATAGACTGGTTTCTTAATCCTAGCCAACACTTTGTTGACTACAACCCAAGACAAAGGTACTCCTGCTGGATACTTCCTCCCAAAGTATGGTTGTACTTCACTTGCGCATGATCTTGTTGGCTGATTCCAATCCCTTCCCCTAATTATTTCACAAACAAATAAGATTCAATTAATTCCCACTTAATCACTTATTGTTTATTTTCACAAAGCAAAATATAGGATAATAAAAAGGATTTGGGTTTTAAAAAACATAATAATCACAATTTGACATCTGCATCATACAAATAGAAAAGTTTATGCGCACTGGATAATTAATCGTTACATATCCTTAAAACAGTTTTCTCCTATGCAAAAATGGACCGTGTGCATGGGTTGTGCATGACCCAAAGAGCAACTCGGCCTACACACATGACGATATTGCAATTGAATATCAACATTGTGGCAACGACATTCATATTCAATAGATATTATTGATATGATGTCGATATTGTTGATTTTGTAACAATACGTCAATATAACGTTATTAAGAATATTTAGTTGCAACATATCGTCGTCCACGTCATCCGAGTCACTTGTCCAAATCATGTGGGCGATCCACATGCGCAGGGGAGAAAAACTCATCTTCAAAAACAATAGAACAGAAAGGAGATTGAAGATGGAATTACTCACAGGTAATGGGTAGGAGAAATGCCTTGGAAGAAGACCTTGGTTTTGGAAGGATCGACATTTCGGTCGACCCATCTGGCCCAAGTTGTCATTCCTTTGTAAAATGCGATCAGACGGTTCATATCTTTGTACAATTTACCCCTTTCTTCAAGATAGTCCCATCTGCAGCAGGCAGCAGGCAGCAGGCGCCCCAAATATTATTGTCACCCTCTTCGTACGTTAATAAAAACAACAAAACAGTGCATGTGATATACAACAACAAAACAGTGCATGTGAACTATATAATATATATATATATATATACACATATACATATACATATACATATATATACGTACGGCTGTGCTCTTCCAGTGTGAGTCCACCAGTGCCACGTGTCGAAGATCAACATGTCCATGCCTCTCCATGCGTTGCCATCCGTAATTGAGTCAAGCTTCAACACTCGTCCAACCTTCTCGTTGACAAGATCTACCAAGTATGGTGTGCGATACAGCAGTATTTGTACTCCATAGTCCTGCAGTCCAACAAAAATATTACTTTTTAAAAACAAAATTACAATTTTTTTTTGTTTTTTAATTTGTGAAATTATCAAAGTTAAATACTATACTATATATATCTAGCTCAATACTTGAAAATAATAGTGAAAGCTGTTAGGTGGTCCAACATAGTGAAAACATTTGTGCGCACTCAATTGTTATTAGTTTTATAAGTGATGCTTATTCTTTCTGTCATACGATGAAGATAGGATTAGGCCATACAATGGAGTGCGGACTAACTAAACATCCAACTCAACACAAATATAATACGTCATCGTTATCTATGTGAGTTGAATTTAAAATTTCTCATTTACAAGTGTCGAAATATACTATTAAATTGTAATACTAGTTAATTAAAAAAACTTATAATTAAGTAAATAAAGAGTATTCATCTTTGCACCTACAGTCGCGGACTCACAAAGTCTGCCTACATCCAAAAGTCCATTTTTAATACAAGGATAATATTGTTGAAGACTAAATGAATAAAATTACAGATCTAAGAACAAATACAAGTTTTCATTTTGGCTTAATGATTGGTTAAGTGGGTCATCCTATGATGGGAGTGTCGTGTCATATATGTTATATTAGCTAACTACATGTCTAAATTTGGAAAGACCATATGCTGCAAACGCAATGGAATGATTACCATCTTTGTCAATTAAGGCACTAGAATTGAGTGTTCCAAACTTCAATCTAACACAACTTTGAAAAGAATGGCAACTTTCAACGTATTCTTTTTTATTTTATTATATATATATATATAGAAAAATAAATCTAATTAAAGAGAGAAATCTCTAGTACAACCGTTCTTAGTACAATCAAATAGAAAAATATTTCTAGCAATAGTGGGTAAGAACCTATCACAAAAATGAGTGTCTTGTATTGAGTGGCCAACACTAGTAATGACATTGAACTATTTGTTTGTCTTTCTTATTTATTCATCAATTGGTTAGTTTGGTTCACATATAATCCAAACAATAATACAATGTCATTACTAACTTAAAATGGTATGTCGTGTCAATAAAATAAAAACACGTATAAATTTTGTTCATATATTCTTATGTCATTAATATCGAATATCATGTGTCACATGTAAGTTGTTTTCAGCAATACATAGTCCTCCTATCATTATCATTTGAAATTTCCCCACAAAAATACATAGCAAGCAAATTCAATTTTTGTTTTGTTTTGTTATTATTTTCATTTTTGTTGAGGCAGGAAAGAATAACCTCTGACGTAGCCTCCCTGCACAGTGAAAAGGCCTAATAACCACCCATCACGCTCCCCGTTTAAATGCTTTCACACACTCCACACACGCGCACACAACACAATTCCTATAGAAATCAACTCAATCAATCTCGCCACCTCTCATATGAATCATTTACTACTACTTACTACTAGTATAGCATGAATTACGGTTTCTTTTTTACAGTATACTAATGTATGTTATGCAATGATAATTAAACGGTTAAAACGTCACCATTAAAATCTAATCATTCAAATCCAGCTATTGTAGATTGTGATTGACTCAAGACTTATAAAACTCAATTTTCTTCCAAAAAAAATTGAAGGGAAGAAAAAAACTTTAATTGCCTTTTCTTGAAAGCTAAAGAGTGAAAAGGGACAAAACATGCAAAGCACTATTTCATCCAATGATTCTATTCAATTTCTAAAGTGATTTCAAACACACCAAAACAAAAAAACAAAAAACAAAAAAAAAAAACAAAAAAAAAGTAAAAACAAAAGCTTGAACAAGGAATTAACAAGTTGGAATTATCTATTTCCCAAAAAAAAAAAAAAAGTTAGAATTACCTGGAATGTGACTGAAGCTAAACCATCTTTCTTAACATATGAAGTCCTAGAATTTGGCACCCATGCATGAAGCATACATGTTAATGACACCCACTGATTGAAACTCAGTGAGTCTCCCACGAACATGATCTTCTTCCCCCTCCATTTCTCCAAGAAATACAACCCATTGAACCTGCAAAAACAAAAACAAAACAGTATCTTCTTAACTCAATCATGACCGTTCATTTTCTGTACTAGTCAGAATTCACAATTGAGCTCAGCTTTGGTTAAGTTGAGTTCGCATTGCAACTACTGCCAGCTCGGCCCGTTGTACACCTCTCACGCTGAATTACCGAATTGAGTACCTGGGAAGGGCGCAGGAGAAGGGTTGCCATCGGTATTTGAGGAAAGCGGTGTCGGGACGGCCGTACTTTAAGCAGTCGAACTGCGGATCTACGAAGGGACAGGTGGAAGAGTAGTAGGGGGGTTTAGAAGAAGCATCGTAGACCCATGTACCGCGGAACCAGTTGCATTTTCCTGCGAGCTTTCTGGCCACTGAGCTGCTAGTACTGGTAGCAGAAGCAGACGGAAGAGCATTATTGTAGGAGGAATTGAATACCTGTGCTTTTGTTTGGTGGGAAACTAAAAACAGAGTAAAAAACAGAGCTCTGAACAGGAAACCCATTCCCTTGGGTTCCGATCCACAATTTTCAGTTTTTCGACTTTCAGGACAATAAATCAGGAGGGAACAACAAAAAAGGACGAGGAGTGAGGCAAAAGGTTTCCGAAACGGCTTCTTATATAATGTATGAGAGAGAGAGAGGAGGAGAGAGAAAGAGAGAGGAGCCTTCACATGGAATGAGAGACAGACTGCACTTTCAATATTTTAATACTTTTTTTACAGGAAGGCAGGCATTGGGAAATCTTTGGTTGAGCTCTAGTCTTTGGAAGTGTGCATGGGGTTGATCCAACCTCATGTTTTACAAACTTTGGAATCATGGATTCTTATATAATGGGAAACAGTTTTCCTACCCAGAAAAGAAAGAGTGGGAATTACTTTTTCAAGGTAAATTTTGGTGGCTCATTCAACAACTTTTTTCATATGGTGTGTGGTCAAAATATCAAATCTGCCGTCTAGGTCCAGGTTTATCCCGTACATAGTTTACTGATGTTCTTTGAAGGGAGAGGTTTTTCGTTTACTCGAAAAGCAACGCAATACACTACATGTTATAATATAAATAGAGAGGCATTATAAAACACATCGTAAATGAAGCACGTGAACTAAGTAGTCCACTTCTATCAACCAAGTGGTACACATAAAAATTTCTCCTTTGGAGGACAAAATACTTATGTTAATATGGTTGATTCAACCTTTCACTTAATTGGCAAGAACCAACAAAATTCTTCGCCCGGACAATTGGACCAACAAAATACGCCTAGTTATTCCTCCTATCGTGTACCTAGCAAATCTCCTCACCGTGGCTTGAAGGGACATTTCAAAAATCAATGTTCCGAGCTTGTTGGCTATCTTGATAATTGGTACAAGACTCGTGATCCCCGCTATAACAAGTTGTGTGCCACGATTGTCGAAACTAAGGAAGATTATGAACATATAAACAAGAAAGTGTTTGCATTGCTCACTAACTCAGGTAACGATGATAAAGTTTTAAATGTTTCTGCTTTTGTTACGAATTATACATGAATAATTATTTTTAGTGCTACTGAACATATGAGTTGTGATTTTAGGAAGGTACATGCCCTAAAACGATTCACCAAAACTGTTGAGAGTGTTGCCAATGGCAATGCTGCCCACATTATTGGGAAAGGCGTTATATCGCTTTCCAATACCCTTAATCTTGATATCGTACTTCTAGTTCCTTCCCTAGATTATAATTTATTATTTGCTGCTCAAATCATTGTCGCCTTTACATTGTCTCGTGACCTTTTGCCCTTATTTTTGTGTTTTTAAGAACATTCGGACTTTCAAGATGATAGGTTATGCCAATATAAAGGGAAAAATCTACTACTTGGAGGTAATATCTAACAATACTAGTTTGTTAACTCAAGCTCTTTCTATGGAACGTTCTCACGAGGAGAAGAATTAAAATTCAGATGTTTGGTTGTGGCATCGTCGCCTTGGGCATGCTTTTTCCGGTTATTTGTAGGATTTGTTTTCTAGCGTATCTCTTCAATATGATGTTTCTAGTTTTGAATGTGATATTTGTGAACTGGCTAAAATTTATCATACTTCGTTTCCATCAAGTTTAAATAAATGTTCAACTTCATTTATGATAATCCATTCTGATATTTAGGGACCATCTAAAACTAGGGGTGGAAAAAAAATACCGAATATTCCAAACCGAACTGAAAAAATCCTAAAACCAAACCGAAAAAATTCCAAACTGAAAATCCCAAAAATTTCGGTACCAAATACCGAACCGATCCTGAACTTTCTATACGGAAATCGGTCTCACATTTTCATTCTTTTGGTAATCCCGAACCGAACCGAAATAAAAAAAAATATTATTTAATTTTAAATATATATATTTAGAATTGTAACAACTGTCGGATTTGGTTGAGATTTAATCTCGACCATTAAATACAAATCAAACCCTCAGAAACTCAATCACTCTCTTTCTCCGTCTCTTGACTTGACCTCACCTTAGCTCAGACCTCACCTCACCACCCTCCTCGCCAATTTCTATCTCTATCTTTGAATCTGGCCACACCCACATCACATAAGTAACTCACTTCTCTTTCGACTGACCTATCACCTCTCTAATCTATCTCTCTCAACTTCTCATCCCTCAGACCCTCACTATGGATAAGCTTTCCTTCACGGCATAGAGGCAGAGCCACGACCACCGGCGCTGCTCACCTTTTTGATCTATCTCTCTCTCAATTTCTTCATCCAGATTCCAGTGCACTGTGCACTGATTCTCCCCCAAATCAGGTAAATTTTGGAATTAATTTAGATTTTGAAATTTAATTTAGGGTTCGAATTCTAGATTAGGGTTTGTGAAATTTAGCACTTGGAACTGATATTGAGGTAGAAGATATGTAATGGCTAAATGATAGTATTAGAAATTTTAGTGTTTCTACCCTCTGAGCATGTTCTTCTCGCCAATTTTCATAAGAAATAAAGTAATTTCCATCGGTTTTTTCCTCGAACATTTACACTTCATTCTTATTGTCTTTCATTTTGAAATTGTCACAAATTTGCTAGACATTGGAGCTCATAAATAATCGATTCTACCATTTTTATAGGCCTTAGCTTTAGCAAACAAAGCATTGCTGGTTGAACATTCTTCTCAACTAGTTTTTGGGGTCTTTAACACTACCTCCAAGGATTTGGAGGCAAGCATTTTGCATTGCTTTATTAGTAGTGTTATTGTTTTCAACTTTTCATGTGTTGGTCTAGAAACAATATGCAATTTCCGAGTCTTCTATGTTATTATGATTGCTTTGCCACTAACATGATGAGTCTTTTTAAGAACATTATCAAGCACTGATCTTTGATTTAGTGAGTGGAAACTATATATGAATCAAAACTGTCGATGAAGTTAAGTCTTATCTGAATGTGTATTACAACTTCAATAAGGCAACATATAAATTTGACAAGAACACAGTACACAAGATCAAGTTTGCTACATAAACAAAAGATACGATAAAATTAGTTTGACTTCGATTGGGAAATTATCAGAGAGGTAGCCGACAACATATATAATCTTGTATAACTCGATCTATAGATGCATGGTTCTATTGTATGTCGACAGAGAGTTTTACTTTCAAGATTTAATTAAGTAGTCAAATGCAAAGGCTCTAGGGTTTGGGGTATGAGCAGACAGCACGTACCCAACTATCCCTCACTAAAATTTTAGCCCAAAAGCCCAATATGTCAAGTTTTAGCCCAATAGCCCAATATGTCAAGTTTTAGCCCAATAGCCCAAAACTATTTCGAGATTCCCGATTTGTCCAGAAATCCCGAAACTATTTCAGGATTCTTGAAAATTTGGTTTGGGATCAGTCTTGAAATTGGGATTCTCGAAAACTTTGGTTTAAGAATCGGGACATAGTTTTTGGTTCGGTATCCCATACCGAACCAGCCCTATCTAAAATTGCTACATTAGGCGAAGCTCATTGGTTCGTTATCATTATTGATGATTGAACACGTATGACTTGGGTTTGTTTGATGAAGTCTAAAAGTGAAGTTCTTTGTTTTAGAAATTTCACAAAATGGTACAAGTACAACATAAGTCACAAATACATATTTTCAGGAGTGATAATAGGGGCGAGTATGTGAACTCTATATTTCAAGCTTTTCTTGATCATCATGGTATTGCTCATCAAATTACATGTCCACATACTCCACAACAAAATAGGATTGTAGAAAGAAAGAACCGTCAGCTTATGGAGATTGATCATGCTTCCTTGCTTGATGCACTTGTCCTATTAGAGAGAAGATCTCACTTCCATCACGTATCTCATCAATCATGTTCTATGTCTTACGGTACGTGATTATGGGGTATGCTTTAGATAAAAAAGGATATCATTGTTATCACCCTTTGACGAAAAATATGTTTGTCACTATGGATGTTTCCTTTCATGAGAATGATTTATTTTTTGACAATCTCGAGTCTTCACTTCAAAGGGGAGAATTAGATGAATGTTCAAACTCTTAATTATAGTAATTCAGATACCAATATTGTAAATGATTTGGATTTAAGTAGTGATGACTTGGAACAAGTGGTGTCCATTCACAAGAAAATAATGTTGTGAATGACTTGGAATTAACTGGTAACATTTTGGAGACAAATGGTGATCATTCATATAAAAAACATTGTTGAAAACCTTGAAAGGAACGAGTCGACGCAGGACAGTTAATTACCTGCTTTCTCACTGTCGCTAGTTACCTTATTGTCGGTCTCACCACTTCTGAGCCCTAATAATAATATCAATTGTCTTGAGCCCGTATGCACCACCACAATGTTGTCTCCCTAACCGTGTGAACCGATGTATTCCTAAACTTATTTATGAAGCTGACCCTTAGTGCAATACTAGTATTCGATGAAGAAATCAAACCCTGAGTCTAATGTGTTATACCTATTAAGTATGCGTCTATTAATCACTTGTTAAAATCAAATAAGTCATTTGTGTATCAATTGTCTATTGTATCTATTCCTAACAATGTGCAAGAGACTTTAATTGACCTATGTTGGCAAGCAGCAATGAATAAAGATTTGAAGTCTTAGTAGAAGAATGTGACTTGGGAGATCATAGACTTCCCAATTGGCAAGAAATCTGTGGGATGCAAATGAGTCTATAATGTGAAGTACACAACTGATGGGATGGTGGATTGCTTTAAGGAGAGACTGGTAGCTAAAAGGGTACACTCATAAATATGGAATCGACTATACATATACATTTGCCCATGTGGCCAAGATCAACACAGTCTGTGTTTTGTTGTCCTTGGTTGCCATTTTTAATTGGCCTTTACAATAGTTTGATGTGAAGAATTCTTCTTGGAGATTTGAAAGAAAAGATTTATATGGATCTTCCACTAGGATGTAATGCTCAAGATAAAAACAAAATAAAGGTGTGCATGTAAAGAAATCCTTATATGGTTTGAAACAATGTCCTTGAGCATGGATTGAAAGATTCACAAAATATGTGAGACCATTCTAGTTGCAGACAAAGTAACTCCCATCATACTCTGTTCCTGAAAATGCGAAGTGGGAAACTCACCGCACATATTGTGTATGCAAATGATATGGTGGTAACATGGAATGATCTGGAAGAACGTGCGACCTTGCAAAAATACTGTTCTAGAGAATTAGAGATGAAGGACCTTAGATCCTTTACACATTTCTAAGGATTGAGGCATCGAGAAATAGTTATGGAATTTTCTTCTTTCGTTTCTCAATAGTGAAGTAAGACTAAGCTAATGAGCTTATTATCACAGAGC